CCCCAAAACCCCAAAACCCCAAAACCCCAAAACCCCTAAGAGTGAAAACTTTGTTGACTTGAGTGTTGGATAAATAATTTTAAACCCTGTGCCTTCTATTAAGAGTTATATCAGGTCTAGATTAGAGATTATGGAGAAACATCAAGATTTTGAGTGTCTTTATTATCCTCTGGAGCTGCTTCAGGGACACAGGTATCCTCTATGTCTTGAACTGCATAATCTCCTTCTTCCTTAGTATCTTGTGCTTCTACAGCTGTATCTTCAGGAGGGGTTTCTTTGTTAACTTCTTCTTTAGCTTCTTCAGTAGATTGTTTAGCTTCATCTATGATGTCTTTAAATTCCTTTTCAAAAGCATCCCTAAACATCTTAACTGTTTTAAATTCTATGTTTCACATGACTATTTTCTTGAGATTGCCAACTTCAGAGAGATTATCAATGTACTCCCGAGTCATTTTAGCAAATGTCTGTGCGCATTCTTTAAGAGGATATCCAAAGATACCACTTGAAATAGCTGGGACTGAGACCGACTCACATTTAAGCTCTTCTGCTCTTTTGTAAGTATTGACAATAGTCAGTTCAAGCTGTTTCTCTGCGTTTTCTCCTCCAGAGTATCCGTAGATTGGACCGACAGCATGAATTCAGTACTTCTTACATCCGAGGTTGCCTTTGGAGGTATATGCAGTTTCTCCTGTTGGAACTTCACCATACTTATCAACCCATTCGTCAGACTCTTGGTCAATTATATATCCTCCTTTGCGGGAAATTGCTCCTGCTACTCCACCACCATGAGCAAGGTAGTTGTTAGCTGCATTTACAATTGCGTCTGTTTCTTCAGCAGTAATGTCTCCATATTTTCAGACTATTTCCATTCCTTTATACTGCAGTTGTAAAGGGAAAGCTGCAGCCATCTTTTCTTGCATACTCCACATTTTGAATAAATTCTACCAAAACTTTACCAAAAGGGGTTTTGGGGTTTTGGGGTTTTGGGGTTTTGGGGTTTTGGGGTTTTGGGG